AGTTCACAGCTCTGGGGCCTAATATAGAGAACTTAGAATCATTATCCCTATGGAATCTTATCAAGCAGATTAATACTGATTGGAAAAAAAGAAAAATAAATAAAAAGAAAAAATACTAATTGGAATAAAATAGGTATCTAATTAATCATCTATTACATTTTCTAGAAAGTATATGGAAGGGGGGCGGAGTCAAGATGGTGGAGGGAAAGCAGTGACTGTCTTGAGCTCTCTTCCAAAGTCCTCCAAATACCTAAAAAAATGTCTCTAAACAAATTCTAAAGCAGCAGAACCCACAAAAAGACAGAGTGAAACAAATTTCCAGCCAAAGACAGCCTGGATGGTTGATCAGAAAGGTATATCGCGCCAGGCGGGGAGAGGAGCTCAGTTTGGTGTGGGCACGCAGGCTGCAGCGACCCTGGAGCAGTCCTCAGAGGACTGAATCATGGGCAGCTGTGGCGGTTTCCAGACTTCTCAACCCAGGAATGCCAAAGACAACGTGGAAGGTCAGTGGGAAAAGTCTGTGACCGTGGTGAGAGAGGAGCTAGGTCTCAGCCACAAGCCCACAACGTGCCCTCAGGGCAGTGATTGTTTCCTGAGCTTCTGGACCACAGACTGAGGGGGAATCGAGTGGCTGATCAGAGGGGGATTACAAGGATCTCTTTGCCAGTGCTGAGGCAGGAATCTCTTGCTTTACCAGTGCTTGGATCTGGGTCACAGTTCTGAGGGGCGGTCCTGGGGCTAGGAGGAATGCTGGTATGGTGGAGCTTGTTGTGGCTGTGGAGAGGAAACACCTCACCCCTTATCATAGCACCTTGGAAGAACTGAAAATTTACAGGTCCCTAGAAGTACCTCTTAAAACAGCTGTACAAACCCCCAAAGCTTGAGACAGTACATTCTCCACATTGGAAGCAGACTTTTACCTTAACAAAGAGTTTAAAACTCAAGTAACTGGCCAGGATCATGAGTAAGCAGCACAAAAAGAGTCAGACTATATTATCTTACTTTGGTGACAAAGAAGATCAAAACATACAACCAGAAGAAGACAACAAAGCCAAAGCTCCTACATCCAAAGCCTCCAAGAAAGATATGAATCAGTTCCAGGCCTTGGAAGAGCTCAAAAGGGATTTTGAGAAGCAAGTAAGAGAAGTAGAGGAAAAACTGAGAGTGATGCAAGAAAATCATGAAAAATAACTCAACAGCTTGCTAAAGGAGACCCAAAAAAATACTGAAGAAAATAACACCTTAAAAAATAGCCTAACCCAAATGGCAAAAGAGGTCCAAAAAGCCAATGAGAAGAAGAATGCCTTAAAAAGCAAAATTGGCCAAATGGAAAAGGAAGTCCAAAAGGTTACTGAAGAAAATACTTCCTTAAAAATTAGAATACAGAAACTGGAAGCCAGTGACTTTATGAGAAGCCAAGACACTGTAAAACAAATCCAAAAGATTGAAAAATTAGAAAACAATGTGAAATATCTCATTGGAAAAACAACTGACCTGGAAAATAGATCCAGGAGAGAAAATTTAAAAATTATTGCACTATCTGAAAGCCATGATCAAAAAAAGAGCCTAGACATCATCTTTCAAGAAATTATCAAGGAAAACTGCCCTGATATTCTAGAACCAGAAGGCAAAATAGAAATTGAAAGAATCCACCGATCTCCTCCTGAAAGAGATCCCCAAAGGAAAACTCCTAGGAATATTGTAGCCAAATTCCAGAGTTCCCAGGTCAAGGAGAAAATATTACAAGCAGCCAGAAAGAAACAATTCAAGTGTTGTGGAAACACAATCAGGATAACACAAGATTTAGCTTCTTCTACATTAAGGGACTGCAGGGCACGGAATATAATATTCTGGAGAGCAAAGGAGATAGGATTACAACCAAGAATCACCTACCCAGCAAAACTGAGTATAACCCTGCAGGGGAAAAAATGGTCATTCAATGAAATAGAGGACTTTCAAGCACTCTTGATGAAAAAACCAGAGTTGAATAGAAAATTTGATTTTCAAATACAAGACTCAAGTGGAACATGAAGAGGTAAACAGGAAAGAGAAAATCATAAGAGACTTATTAAGGTTGAACTGTTTACATTCCTGCATGGAAAGATGATATTTGTAACTCATGAGACCAATGTCAGTATTAGGGTAGTTGGAGGGAAAAAATTATAAGCATGTATATATAGATAGATAGATAGAGGGCACAGGGTGAGTTGAAGATGAAGGGGTCATATCTGGAGAATAAAATTAAGGGGTGAGAGAGGAATATACTAGGAGAAGGAGAAAGGGAGAGGTAGAATGGTGTAAATTATCCTACAAAAAAAAACAGAAAAGAAAAGGCTCTTACAATGGAGGGGAAAAGGGGGAAGGTGAGAGGGAATGAGTGAATCTTATTCTCATAGGATTTGACTTAAGGAGGGAATAACATACACACTCAATTGGGTGTGGAAATCTGCCTTACCCTACAGGAAAATAGGGGGGAAAGGGGACAAGAGAGTAGGGGAATGATAGAGAGGAGGGCAGATTGGGAAAGGGAGTAATCAGAAGCAAATACTTTTGAAGAGGGACAGGGTCATTAGAAAGAATAGAATAAAAGGGTGGGCAGGATAGGATTAAGGGAAGTAGAGTTAGTTTTTCACAGCATGTCTACTATGGAAATGTTTTGCATAACTGCACATATATAACCTATATTTAGTTTCTTGCCTTATCAATGAGGGTGGGTGGGGAGGGAAGAAGGGAGAAAATTCAGAACCCAAAGTTTTAAAAACACATGTTTAAAAAAAGATGTTTTCACATGCAACTGGGAAATAAGAAATACAGGAAATGGGGTACAGAAATCCATCCTGCCCTACAGGAAAATTGAAGGGGAAGGGGATAAGAGAAGGGGGGGAGAGATAGAAGGGAAGGCAGACTAGGGGAAGGGGTACTTAGAATACATGCCATCTTGGGGTGGGGGGAGGGGTGAGATGGGGTGAAAATTTGGAACTTAAAATCTTGTGGAGGTAAATGTTGAAAACAAAAAAATAAATTAAAAATTACCATTAAAAATAAGAATATCTGAGTTCAAATATTGCCTTAGACAATTACAAGCTGTGTGATACTGAGTCATTCGATTCTGTTTGCCTCAATGAGTCCAGATTTGAACTCAGGAACATGAGACTTCCCGGCTCCAGGCCTAGTGCTCTATCCACTGCGCCACCTAGCTTATATTTAAGTATATGTATAAACATTTTGCAAACCTTAAAGTGCTAAATAAATGCTAGCTATTATTATTTCTGTTAGTGGAAATTGGGTGGTAAATATCGTGTCTTTTCTTCATGAATACAAATGTGTCCTTGACAAAAAAAAAAAAGTATATGGAAATACTCACCTTAGTTGGCCAATAGAAGTGAGTGAAACCATTGACTTGAAAACACCCCCAAAAAAAGAAAAATGTAAAAACAGTAAATAGGAGCAATTATTTTTAAAAAGTTAATCAGTGAAATAAAATCTCTCATTTATAGGCTATTGTTTTGTTATTTTGAAAAAAACTTGGACTGCATAATTTTTTTAAAAGTTACCACTAAGGGTCAAAAGGGGGCTAAAACTTTAAAGAGGACCTTAAATAATCAGGAAAAGGGGAAGAGAGAGAAGTAAATGAATATTCATACTTTATAAATGAGTCAATATCTTTTATGGAAAGAATTACATAAAGGAAAGATATATACATGGGAAGATAGAAAACAAGAAAAAGGGTTCTGGGGATGTATCCTCACCTGGTCCTGTGGTGAGTAGAGAAGGGATAGTAATTTTTTTTGGTTTCTCAACAACAGGGGAAACTTGAGAGAGTAAGATAGAATCAATGTAGGAGAGAGATGGAAGGATTAGAAATCAGACTCATCTAAGAAGGGGAAGAAAACACTGCCATCTCAGAGAGATGGGGATGGAAGGAAGAGTGATGTATCTATCACAAAGAAGAGATGCCTTACAATGAATTTCATATGAGGGTGATGGGTATCATGAGAGACTGCCTTCTCTCAAACAAGGGTTGTACTTCTCAAGGCTTCATTTCATCCTGGAAAGGCTATATATAGCGCCCTGAGGGCAGTCAGAATCCAAAATAGTAGGAGGAACACAGAACCAAAGACAGAATAACTTGGACAGGGAGCGAACATAGTAAGGGCATGGGATAGGATTAGCCATCATAATTCAGAAAACTATAGACCAATGTGACTAATGACTATTAATGCAAAAAAAACCAAAAAAGCAAAACTTTGCCACCATCCTAGAAAAAGGATATTGACTATATATAACCTGCCCCAGATGAGGCCAAACCCTGCTTTATATCCCATGCAACAGCCACCCCAGTATTCTTGTTGATATTCATCATTTAGCATGTGCTTTCTCTTCCTCTCTGCAAACCATACCCTCTGCACCCAATTTTCTCTACGTCAGTAAATTCTCCTATGGCTCCATTTGGCACGCCTTTTGTCTCCTCAGTCCGTACCACCCTTCCCTAGCCACAACCCCCCTTTACATATTCTTCCCTCTTGTTTGAATAGAAGCTGACTTAGGGCAGGTGCTATTTTGCTGCTGTATTTGTGTAACAAGCACAGTGCTTGGCACATGGTAAGAGCTAATGAATTTTTTTCATATATTTGGGTCATTTATTCAGTTGGAAGATTAGGAGATTGGACTCTGAAATAGCCATGGCCCAGTTCCAGGTCTAAATCAGGTAACCCTGCAATCTAATAGCCCCCACTTTCAGAACACTTTTGATGCCCACAGCGGTCCTTATGTAAAATGTCCTGACACAATGATAGGTGGGGGCTGATACTGGGCCAAATTGAGGAGCACCTAATGTAATCACAGATGCGTAGGTGAGAAGCAGTTAGTCTAGCTAATATCCCTGCTGACAGGGGTGGAGGGAGAGGTGGCACTGGGTTTGGTTGAGAATGAATCAGGCCATCCCACAGAAAGGGTGTCACCATCCTGCGATGGACGATTGAGCCCAGTATAAAAAGCCCAGAAGCCCAGCAGCCCAGACAGTTGGTACCGTACAAGTTGTTTCCATCTCCTTCCTGCTTGTTCCTTTGGCAAACTAGGTAAGTGGGGACTCATTCTTGCTAAGACCACAGGCACCTGGTGTTTTTCCAGGGGTAAATCTGGGAATTGGGATGATTGGAACAGGAACCCTGAACTAAAGCCAGAAGAACAGGGTTCAGATTATAGATCTTCCCCTTAGTAGCTGTGCGATCTCAGGCAGCTAGGTGGCACCATAGAACACAGAACACTGGCTAGAGTCAGAAAGACTTGAGTTCAAATTTAAAGTCAGACATTTACTAGCTGTGTGACCCTAGGCAAGTCACTTAAGCACTGTCTGCCTCAGTCTTCTCATCTATAAAATGACGGTTATAATAAATATTATATATAATAGTATATATAATATTATACATGTTATGCAATAATATAATATATGATATATTATAATAAACCTACCTCTTGTGTTTGGTGTGAAGACTAAATGAGAAATTTGCAGAGAACTTAGCACAGTGACTGGCACATAGTAGGTACTTTATAAATGTTTACTCCTTTTCCCTTCCCTTTCATCTGCCCCCCTTCCCTTAGGCATGTCATTTGAACTGTCTGAGCCTCACTCTCCTTATCTGTAAAGTGAGGGTGGGGAACAAGATAATTTCTAAGGTCCTTTCCAGCACAGCTCTGACTGTTGTGATGCCTAGAATGTGCTGAGGTACCATAAACACCTGGGAGCTTTGTTTTCCCCTCCCTTTAAGGCCATCCTTAGGGGAAAAGCAGCCTTTGCTTCCAGGCCTGTGTTTCCTGGTTTCCTGTGGGACCTTGGAGCTTAAGATCTCTAGGACTGAGTGCTTCATTACATCGATGAGAATGAATTGTCCCTACCCCATCTTTCCCCATGACACTGTTTCAAAGGTGAAACAGATGAGATGGGAAATAAATTCAGATTTATTCAGTTATTCCAGTTTATTAATTAATTAATTTTATTTATTTATTAGTTATTCAGTTTACTTATTCAATTATTCCAGATAATTACTCGTGAGGCCTCTTAAAGGAAGTAAAGAAATGACAGAGAAGGGTCACATTTTTCTCCCTCCAGGTCAATTAAATTGTGCACCAAGATGTCTCATCTCCTGACAAGCATCGCCACCATCATGGATGTCTTCTACCAATATTGTGGCCAAGATGAGGAGTGTGACACGATGAGCCAGAGCGCATTGAAGGAATTTCTGGAAAATGAGCTGCAGTTTATTCTGAAGGTGAGAGCTTTCTGTTACATCCAGCGGGCTGTGACAACAGGCAGGCATGGTTTTGTTTTTTGTTTTGTTTTGCTTTATTTTTAATTGGGCATTTGTCATATTGAACCATACCTAAAAAGGTAGTATAGTGGATAGAGTACAGGAAGGAGGAAGTTGTTACAGAGTGGCTTTCCAGTAGTGCCTGCACCTCGATGACTGCATTTGGGAGTTTTCTTGGCAAAAACACTGGAGTGGTTTGTTATTTCCATCTCCAGCTCATTTTACAGATGTGGAACTAGGGCAATTGTCTGAGGCCAGATTTGAACTCATGTACTCCACACCAGAGGGCCAGTGCTCTATCCACATTGTTCTACCTAGCTGCACTGGGAGGGAGGAAGCACTGAGGTCAAATCTGGCTTCATACTCTTATTAGTTGTATAACCCTGAACAAGGCACTTAAAATGCCTCAGCCTCAGTTTCTTTATCTGTAAAATGGGAGAAAGAGTAGAATCCATCTTATAGGGTTATTGTGAGGATCAACATGAGAGAGTATATTTATAGTGCTTTGCAATCCCTAAAGACCTATATAAAATCCCATCAAAATAGCTATCATTTGCTTCTAATAAGCAGGAAGCAAAAGATCCACATAATTAATATTCCATCTTAGTCCTATATAGGGCATTCTAGACTCTAACGCAGAAATAATAATATCTAATGTTCAGTGGGGTCATGGATAATGAGCTGGCCTCCCAAAAAGATCTATATTCAACTCCCCACTAATGCATACAGGCTGTGTGACCCTGGACAAGTCACTTAACCTCTTAAGTACTAAAGGCAACTCTCTAAGACTATGTATTGCTAACAAGTTTCTATCCTGCATTGATAGAGGTGAGAGTTCCTCATTTAGGAATTGTCTATTCATTGAAAGCACAGATTCTGGGGCAGCTAAGTGGTGGAGTAGATAAAGCACAGGCCTGAAGTCAGGAGGACCTGAGTTCAAATCTGAACTCAGACACTTCATCGCTGTGTGACCCTAGGCAAGTCACTTAACCTGGAAAGAAAGAAAGAAAGAAGGAAAGAAGGAAAGAAAGAAGGAAAGAAGGAAAGAAAGAAGGAAAGAAAGAAACAAAGAAACAAAGAAACAAAGAAAGAAACAAAGAAACAAAGAAAGAAA